TTTGAAACCACCCGGGCCCCCCCCCCCCAATACTGGCCATGAGATTCTGGGACTCTAATGAAAGCATAGTTTTGAAGCTACCTACGAGAGGTTGGCGCCCGGGCTGAAGAAGATGAATTATAATCGAAAGCTCACTGTTTTGCCTTTTGTTGTATTGTATTGTTTTAGTTTTGCAAGAAAGGGATCACCTGTTCCTGCATTTACATTGTCCGGGGTGGGGTGGGGAATGACCTTCTCCTGATTTTTACTGAACTGTTTTAAATGTGTTACTGTTATTTTCTTCTTCTTCTTAGCAATATTAATAAACGTTGTGCTCTGCTGGAACGTTTAAAAAAGGGAGCTGGCTGTTATATTACTGCACGGCGGCTTTCCAAAAAGAAACCGATAACTGAAGCCACTCGGGCAGGAAATAATGTCCCTTAATGGAGGCAGGGAATTTCTGGCGATCCAGAAGTTTTGGAATACAACGTCCATAATCCATTACGCTGGCTGGGGGGAAGGGGTCGGAGTCCAAAACGTTCAGAGTGAAGACAATGATTCCCACCTCCTTCCCTTGCTCCTGGAGGTCTCGGAACTTAAACCGCACATACAAAAATCTTTTCCACCAAGCAGCTCACGCCTCTACGTGCAGAAAGTCTGCCACGCGTCTCCACGGGCGTACGTGAGCGAGGGCCGGCCCTCCTCTTTGGCAGAGCGAGCCGGTCACCTCGATGGGCAGAGGGGAAGTGTGTTGAAGGGCCGTGTCTCTGCTCAGGGAGCTGTCCTGACCACCCTAAAGGGGGCAAGAGAGTCTCAAGTGGAGGGGAAGGAGGCGGCCTGACCACCCACGTTCAACGGCCAGGTCTGTCGGCGTAAAGCAGGAGTTCGAGTTCAGGTCCAAAAAAACCCTCTAGCGGCATAAAACCGAGGGCCCGTCGTTTCCAGCAATGTCCTGGTTGAGGCGGGCCAGCCTGTCCGAGGCGCAGAGGTCCGGCCCGCTCCGCCGGCGCGCCTTCAGCCGTCGTTGGCCGCCACCAGCTGCCCCAGGCCCTCGCGGATGTAAACGGCTTGGATCTCCTTGGTCTTCAGGCAGAAGTCGCAGGCCCAGACGGCAGAGGCCTCGGTGGTCAGCAGGCCGTAGGCGTTCTCCGTCATCCCGGTGCACTCGCGGTGAAACCACTTCTGGCACGAGGCCTCGCACAGGATGGCGTCCTGGTCGTCGTTGACCTCGCTGCGGCAGGCCCCGCAGGGGTAGACGAGCCCGGGGGGCGGCTGGTGGCCGGAGTTGCCCGA